AATATGGCCGTCTGCAAACTCAAAAAGCGTAGAATGAAAAGAAGAACGCGACGACCATACAAGCGCCTTACCTACGCTACAACAACTGTTGACAGACCAAACAAAATTTTTTAAAGTTCCACATACTACTTTTACACAATACATATTCGCTACCATCTTTACTACCCTCCTTAAAAACCAGCAAAAACTTCTCGAAATCACCTGATATTTCAAAATCTGTATGGCCCTTTAGAGTTTATTACGTAAGTTCATAACATGTGTTGCCTGAAACATCTTTATAGAACCTATTAATGAAGCGTCCTGATACCAGAAAGCAAATACATATGTCGTTAAATTATTCTGGTTTAACAACCCTCAAGCTACTCTCAAGAAGATACACATAACAGATTTACTGTCCACCACGTGAGTCTGAAGACGATGCTAGCAGTAGGTCTAAGGCGGCAGGAGTACATACGTAACAAAATTCTGCTGCTGATATAATCCACAAAAACTAAAAACGAACGATGATATCTCAATAATAAGAATCATGAAAATAACAGAAAAAAAAAAGACAGTGAAAACCAGCGAAGACAGCAAACAAGTTAATGTCAGATATAAGAACTAACGTAAAAAGCAAAGAAGCAAAGCAATGCCAAAATTAGGAATGAAAGTCAAATACTGGATCGTGCAAGGCAAAACTAAAAGCAGCAAAACCGCCCAAAGCCCTCACTTCTTAGCGAGCTCGTTCCTCATTCACCTTTCACAGAGCTTGCCAGTCTTGCTTTTAACAACTACTGTCTTTTGTCGATTAATTAGTCACTTCCTTAATCTGTTTTCTTTCCTTCTATCAGAAGCCTCTTTCGCATCTATAACACTGACACAAGCATGAGTAGTTGAAAAATGTGAAACCATTCTTCCAATCCCACAAGCCAAGTTTGGTAAAAGCCAAAACTTGTGACCAAAGATGAAAAGTACCAATAAGATGAAGAGTGCAAATCATCTATTCCTCATCACATTTGCAAATTCCGATATACGCTGTTTGTTCAACGTCCTCCTAATTTTACTGCAGAATAATAACTTCTGAACTTCGAAAACAATTTTAAACAAGACATACCAATGCAAACTTCGCCCCGCTCATTAAAAACTTGCACTGCCCTCGTGAACTGGAGATCAAAAAGTAATATTAACCTGAACAATCAAATGTTGTAAAGAGTAGGTGGAACTCAAAGAAAGGGAATCAAAGTCTAAAAGGAAACCATTCATGCAAAGAAAAAAAAAAGAAATAACAAGGCTTCCAAATGGCAAAAGAAAATAGATGAAAAAAAACTAACAATATAAAAGTGGAAGAAGTTTTGAGTACGTATCAAAAGTGAAATACAGAAACTAGCGTAAAACAATTCCAGAAACCAAAACAAAGAGCTAATACAGAGAGATTAGAAACAAAAAAGTAAAAAAGCTACCGCTAAAAACTTTCTTTTGCCATCCTTCCCTCGCAGAATTTCATATAAACGTTTACTTGAATC